TCCCTCCCTCCCTCCCTCCCTCCCGCACCACGCCTGCCTGCCCCCTGCAGAGTATTGCCTCCTCATCTCCACCTTCATGGCCATCATGCAGTGGGGGCTGGAGGGCGGCATCCTGGCCGGCATCGTGCTGGCCACCCTCTATTTCGCCCTGGCATACGCCAAGAGCCAGGTGGGGCGCTCCGCCGGGCAGGTGGAGAGCGGGCGTGCGGTGTGCAGCGCCCCGGGGGTGTCGGCAGATGGCGGCTGCCAGCCGCAGCCTGCCAGCCGGGCCGGGGTGCGAGGAGGGCCGGGCTGCCTGCCTGCTGCCGCACCGATGCACACCCAATGGGCTGCTGGCCCTGCCGTGGCGCCACTGCAGGTGGCGGCCATGCAGGTGGTGGATGCGGCGCGCAGCAGCGTGGTGCGCACGGTGGAGCAGCAGGTGAGGCGGGGCGGCGGGCGGCGGTGCCTGCACGCCTCCCTCCCCTTCGCGCTCGCATGCATGCATGCGTTCATGTGTGATGTTGCTGGGCCCGGGCCCGGGGTGCCTACCTTTGCACCATGCTGACCATTCCTGCGCCGCCGTGCCCCTGCTGGGCCGCGTCGCGGCAGGCGGCGCTGGAGATGCTGAGCGGCAGGCTGGCCACCGTCAGCCTCAACGGCTTTGTCTTCTTCGGCAGCGCAAACACCATCGGCCAGCGGCTGCAGGAGGTGTGTGTGCGTGTGTGTGTGAGGGGGTGGCTGCCTGGCGGCCTGCTGTTGTGGCGTGTGGCGCGTGGCTGGCGGCTGGCTACCCCGCCCCGCCCTCCTGGTTTGTGTGTGTGTGTTTGTGTCCAGGCAGGCCAGCTGAGGGCGGGCTGCTTGGCTGCTCTTGCTGGGCTGGCTGGCACCCACATCTGCCCGCCGTGTGCCGGCTGCCACGCCGTGCCGCGCCGCGTGCAGAAGGCGGAGCGCCTCGGCGGCGGTGTGGACGGCCTGCCGGCGGCGGCGGAGGGGCAGGAGGGGGTGGAGGAGGCGCTCGTCAACAGCCTGCGCACGGTTGGGGAGGAGTATGTCGGCATCAAGCACACGCAGGTGCGGGCCTCCCACCCTCCTCGCCCCTGCGGGCGGCTCTCGCTGGCTGCCCCACCGTGCCAGGCTGCGGTGCTGCCGCGCCGGCTGGCGCGGCGGGGCCCTGTGTTGCGCCCTGTGGTTCGCGGCGCGGCGAGGGGCAGGCCTCGGCATTCCCAGCCGCTGTCGGCTGCCACCCGCCACCCCCACACACACCGCCGACGACGACCGATGCCCATGTGCCGCCTGCCTGCCCGCAGGCTGTGGCTGCGCTGGCTGCCGCCCCCGCCTACCTGGTGCTTGACTTCCAGGCGGTACGGGGGCTGGATGCCACGGGGGCGCGCACCATGGGCATGGTGTACAGGCAAGCAGGGGGGCTTGTGTGTGTATGCGTGTGTGTGGACTGGAGAAAGGTCGAGGGGCTGCCTGGTGGCCCAACGGAGCAGCCGGGCAGGCCCAGGCTGGTACCTGGGCCTGCAGTGCACCGTATGGCATGTTCCCACCCCCAGCTGCAGCCAAAACCCAAGCTCCGCCACCACACACACACACAAACAAACACACACACACGCCCACAACCACTTCCCCGCCTCCCCCTGCTCCCCGCAGCGACCTGGTGCAGCACGGCGTGGTGCTGGTGGTGACGGGCGCCGACCACCACGGCATCCGCCCGCTGCTGCTGGCGCACGGCCTGCCACTGCCGCCGCAGCCGCTGTACTGGCCGCTGGAGCTGGAGCAGCCGACGACGGCAGGTGTGTGTGTGGGTGTGGGTGGTGGTGGTGGGAGGGGTGCCTGCCTGCCTGCCTGCCTGGCACGCAGCCACGGCCTGCATATGTATGACCCTGCCAGCGATGCACAGGCATCACGTGGTCAAAGAGCCTCCTTGCTGCACTGGCCCTGGTCAGCCGGTGGCCGGCTGACCACAGCTGCCCGCCGCCGCGCGCTTCCGTTTGCAGATGTGGAGGCCAGCCTTCGTGGCAGCCAGGCTGGCTCGCCCCGCGCCCGCACCCCCACCCGCTCCCCGCTGGCCAGCCTGGCCCAGGAGCATGCGTGGGAGGAGGGGCTGGGGCTGGCTGCCTTTGAGGACAGCGTGCAGGCCAGCTGCCTGGAGTTTGTGACCCTGGAGCAGGGGCTCAGGCGCGTGCGGGCGCCTGTGCGCGGCTGCTCCCCCTGGGGGGGCGGGGAGGGCGCGCATGCTGGTGCCACTGCGCCTCTGCTTTGCAGCAGGACCGCTGCGACACTGTGGTAGGGGATCCCGGGGCGCCAGCCTTGGGCACTGCCGCTCAGGCCAGGCTGCTGCGTCACTGGGTTCGGGTTGGTACTGCAGGTACTGCGAGGACCAGCTGCTGGAGGTGGCGGTGCGGTACGGCCTGTGCCAGCCGCCCTCGGCGCTGCTGCCGCTGGAAGACATGTTGCGCTCGCACCTGCAGAAGGTGCGGCAGGCACAGCGCCCCATGGGCCTCCTGCCCCTTTCTGTGCGCCTCCCTGCCCTCTGCTCCTCCTGCCCCTCCCTGCACAGAAGCAGCGCAGCGCACCCAGGGCTGCATTCCACCATGCATCGCAGCCGTGCATCCTGGCCGCCTGCCCCGCTCACAGCTGGCCCGTGGCCCGCGCCCCGCCCCCCCCCCCCCAC